AAAGCCATGCTGAAGAATTAAATAAAAACAAAACAAGGGAAACCCATTCAAATTATAGAATGACAGCATCAAGATTAACCTGACAAAACTCAAGTCCAACTTATACATTAGAATAGTGGTTCTCAGCCTTTCTAATGCTGCGATCCTTTAATACAGTTCCTCATGCTGTGACGACTCCCAACCACACAATTATTTTCTTTGCTACTTCAAAACTTCAATCAAAATGTTTTTTCCAATGGTCTTAGGCGACCCTTGTGAAAGGGTTGTTCGGCCCACAGGTAGAGAACTGTTGTATTAGAAGAAGCACACAGACAATACTAAAATTATTTTGCCTGGGCAGCTCCTTTAGGTTACTCTTTTTGATTTCCAACTGCCAATGGATTTTTTACGTGCGCAACCATGCACACGGGCGTCCGATCTCACTACCCAGACACCAGGGGAATTACTAGAAGTCCAAGTTCACGTGACAAAAATCTAAGCCACTACCGGGGATTTAACCCGGAACCTCTAGAACTTGAGGCGGACACCATGCCTCGAGACCACGCAGCACCCTAATAACAATGAAACGTCTGAGAAAAACTGCATGAGTGGCCAGAAGAAATACAATCTGGAATCTTCTTCTTCTTCTTCTTCGCGTTCACCAGCTTTACACTCTGGCGGAAGGTTCTGGTTGCTCGTCCACTACTGAACTGCAGTCCTGCTCCAGAACCTGAGTGTTGCGTGTGCATCAGTTTTACAGATCTCATTCTCTTGAATACAGACTGTCGGTTCCTTGCCTCTCCGGCAGATGCACTCCGACTTCAAAGGAAGCTCCCCAATTAGTCGACTCTTACGACATGCTTTTGGGGAGGCAGTGAGTCTATTCTTGTTTTCCCCACAATGGGGCCCCAGAACCCACACGGGGAACAATCTGGAATGAGTCATGAGAGAACCCTGGGTGAGCGCAGTGGCAGAGCACAATTTACTGGCTCCTAATTTATGCAACTCTCATTTAATGGCGGGAGTCGCTTTTGTTTTGCCCCAGCAATCTTCTGATCAGCATTACGTGGCTTCTCTGCACCGATTAAAAGGGGTGTGGGTAGACCACCTGTGACATAGGAAACAAAGATGACCACACAATAGAGGGGCTGCAATTTCTGACGAAACTAACCGGGAAGGCTAATTCTGTCAACAAACGGCGGCATAAGACAGATGTGTGGGCTTGAAGTCAAATATGGCAGCTATTTTGACTGACTGACTGACTGACTTTCTACCCCACCAGGACATCACACAAGCGATAAACACCCGATGACACAAAGTGCCACCATGCGGATGAGGATCGCCGTGGAGAGGTCCCAGAAACCGAGTTCAGACATCTGGGCATATTTATGGCCTGCCTATATTGCGGCCCCTGGCAAAAGCCAGAGTAGGGCTTTAAATGACAAAAAATTTCGTCCTGAAACGGACGAAAGTGGATATTATGTAAACGGCCACAATTTCTCCGATTAAAATGGAAAGGGAAGAAGAAGAAGAAGAAGAAGAAGAAGAAGAAGAAGAAGACGAGAATAAAAAGAGAGGAAGAAGAGAAGATCACACAATTAAATATTTAAAGGACTATTTTCAATCTAGGATCGTACACACCATTCTGTAGCTATAAATTTTTAGTCTAAAGATGGACGTGGATCGTATCAGGCATATTGTATTAAGACTCACAATGTCTTGAGTTCAGGGACTGGCCAGCTTGTGCTGCAGAATCAGAAGTTCAACGGTTATAATAAAGTTGTCCGACCCAGAAAGGCAGTAGCTTCCCCTGCTAATCATGCCTTCTAGTGTCGCAGGGGCTGTCCCATGTTGCGGGGGTGTCACGCTTTGGGACCGGCCAGCAACACGTACTATTTTACTCGTTGCTGTCGGTGATATCACGTGTTCTATATTCCACGATGTAAGCGCTTTTAAAGGTCCCAAAACATCTAAAACTGGCCTTTACCCCCCCCCCCCCCCCCGCATTTTCAAGCCCAAGACTACGTCCCAATACTGCAAGCAAGCTAGGTCGCACAACTGTATGTAGCGTATATTATAGGCTGCTTGCAGTCCTGGAACGTACGCTGCACTTTCTTGTGGGACGTTTGCCGCATACTCTGGTGTGTTGGGAAACGAGCAGGCACATAGACTGGCCGGTTCTGCATCACTTGGTGGTGAATTGATGTATGACGAGCTAGATGTTCTGAAGGCTCCTTGGTACATATTTTACATTAAATCGATCTGTGCGCCCGAAGCAAATGTTTAGTATTAACCAATCACTAGATCAGGAGCAATATGCCAGTGAAAGTTGGCTGCATTGGGTCTCCAACACTCTTTCGCCCTGGGTATATAATTTTTCCTGCAACTGTTGGACACTATCTTTAGGTGTTACCCTCCACTTATATCGTTGACTGCCTCTTACTTTCAACACCCCCCCCCAGCCCCCCCCCCTCCAATCCTCTCCATTCGGTTTCATAAAAGTGTTGTTTTTTAATATTAAACTTTCCCCATGTGGGTTCAGGGAGTCGCCGTCGCGTAACGACTAGACACTTGTGTGCGGATCGAAAGGTCGTAGGTTCCCTCAAAAATAACCTTGACTCCCGGGTCGACCCAGCCTTGAGTGGGTACCGGCTGCAGTCCCGGGGGGTAAAGGCGGCCGGCGTGATACTGACCACATCATCTATCTTGTGCCGATTGGTCTAGAAAAATATAGGTCTATTCCTATATGTCCTATACGCCTAAAAGCGTGGAAAAGGGACCTTTACATGTGGGTTCCAGGGCCTTGTTCCGGGGAAAACAAGAATAAACGCACTGCCTGCACAAAAGCATGTCGTAAGAGTCGACTAGTTAATATAATTTGGTAATATAAGTATGAGCATAGGAGACTTCTGGTCACTGATTAAAAAAATTATATTAGAGGAATGGTCCTTGAATTAGGACCACAGCCCAAAGGGTAGACAAGAATAAATGCACTGCCTGCACAAAAGCATGTCGTAAGAGTCCACTAGTTAATATAATTTGTTAATATAAGTATGAGCATAGGAGACTTCAGGTCACTGATAAAAATAAAAAAAAATTATATTAGAGGAATGGTTCTTGAATTAGGACTACAGCCCAAAGGGTAGACAATCATATAAGTTGTTAATTTCTTCTTATTCTTCTTGGTTCACCGACTTTTCTGCCTACCCCCGGGCGTGAACCCAGACCACAAGGAGTTCGTCACCCGGTCGCCGCGCAGTCAGGTTTAACCAACTGAACTAACGAGCCGGATATAGATTTAAATAGGCAGCTCATTTTCGGCTTTTGGCCAGTGTTGCCACTTTGGATCTTTTATATCCAAATTTAGATAATTTTTATTTGAATTTAGATACTGTTTTTGACGTTTAGATCGTAAATATTTTTCTAGATTCTTTTCATATGGAGTTAGATATTTTATAGATTTTTTTTTCTTTCATTGTCAATTTAATAATTACTGTGTAAAATATTTACTACAATATTTTTGTTTGGGTCTGTCATGTACATTGTGACAACTGACATTACTTGAACTTTGAATTCTCACTGGGGTTAACGCAGAAATATCTGACAGCCCTGGTACTGATTAATAAAAACGCGCGTAAATCATACTAACTTTGTTTCAACCGTATCCTCATTGTGCTGACTTTGCGTTTCTTTTCATGTGATTAAAAAAAAATAATTGCTCACCTTCTTATGTGGCTTTCACTTTGAAAAAACCTTTTAACATGCCAATAGTAAAGTATGAGCAAAACATTTGGAAAGAGTGGTTGCATGATGACAAAATTAAAAATTGGGGATATGACCAAAGCTTGTTGTAAGTACTGCAAGTGTGAAATTAAAGCGAAAATACAAAACTTAAAGAGTCATGCAGAGACTAAAAAAACATAAAACTGCAGTTTCATTTAAAGATATTACACCGCTGACATCTGTTTTCAGAACTATACTGATAAATGAATCATCAAAAGTGGAAGTATCAGTCGCAATGTTTTTTAAATTTGTCACTGCGCAATTTCAAACTGTGACCATTTGATCGATTTGTAAAAAATCTTGGACTAGTTCAATTTGAAAAGTGTGATGTAGAAAGTATAGTTTAGGAACTGAAGGACCTTTTAATCAGCAAACAGTTAGGCTTGAAGAATTTGGCTGATAATGCCTCAGTGATGGTTGGTATAAACAATAGCGTTTATGCCAAGTTGAAGGGAGCTAACCCATCGTTAATACTTATTTTTTTTTTTTTAACGTATCCAGAAGCTATGAGTTGTAAACCCTTTGGCTCGGTACTATGGATATCGCAGCTGAAACACTTTACTGGTTTTCCAAATCATTAGTCAGACAACAGCAATACAATACACTATATACAGCCTTTAATGATGGTTCCACACCACCGAAAATTCTGTCAGATTGCAAAACTAGATGGTTATCAATTTAACCAGCTGTTGAAACAATTATGAAGCAATGGCTGAAGTTGAAGACACACTTTCAAATAACAAGACAAAGTGAAAAGTGCTACACAGCTGAAATACTATATGGAATGTACAGTTATGAAAAAAATTTGTCATTCATTCTCTTTTTATAACCTATTCTAATGTAAAGAAATTTGAACAGCTAAAGCATACCAGGGTCATTTTGGATCTGAAGCTTCAACTTCATTATCCAAGCTAAGTTTATCCTGTGGATCTTGTGAGGCAGACATCAGTGAAGGTGAGGACATGATTATATAGTTTAAGTCAAAACAAAAGCTATGTAATTTTTGACTTATTCAATTTGAATGTTTTTTCTAGATCTTTTTCACGCAGATTTAGATCTTTTTAGATATTTTTTGACACCGTTTTGGATATTTTTAGTCAAAGAAAAGTGGCAAAACTGCTTTTGGCATACAACTGGACAATTGTCTGGCAACGCGGCTTGTATGCGCCATTTTGTAGTCGCGTTTTATCTGGCGACATCTTGTCAGTTTTTTCCGTCTTATTGATTCTTTTTCCACCATGAGCGACCAGGAGGACATGCGATTAGGTATCGTATTGCATGCATAGTTTAATTAATGCACACATTATATCATTAACATAGTCTGCTTTATATGTTATCGAAAAATTATTATGGGGCTAGCTTCTCATCATAATCATTCATAATCATGCTTGAGTTTGTCGGTGTCCGTTTGAATTGTGAATGAAAATGCGCAAATGATTGGTAGACAGAAAACGTTTACAGGTCGTTGTATAGATCGTAGTAAAATAATGGCAAGAGTAGTGAACTCAAAAATTAATCATTATCTCATTGCTTTTCTTAGGCTTATCAATATTGAAATATTGTCATGTCTGTCTTTATAGGTACTTCAGTGAAATTTTTAAAATGCCCTCTACACCAATAAAACCAGCACAGTTAGATAGCTGTAAACAATCTCTTTCCAATGGTACCTCATTTAGGCTTGTATGTCATTTCTGAGCTGAGATATGTAGGTTTTTGTGGAGATGAGATGTAAGAAACAGCCGCTAAAACTTGTGACCCAGAAACAAGAAGTTTTTTGACCTACTGCGCAGTTCTGTATCAGCTTTGTTGACATTGGACTGTCATTGGACAAGATGGCAGGCAGTGAGACTCAGCTCACTCAGCCGCATGCGATTGCCTAAAAAATGTCACTGTAAATCTAAACAGCCAGAGTCGGTAAAAAAAATTTAATATGCAAATGTAAAATTGGACGGAGAATTCAACTGTAACTAGCATTACCACAACTGGTAATGTTTAAGGCCTAAAGCCAACCTCGAATTTACCGCTATTTTCAATCAAACTGATGACTAACAGAAAAACAGAGGAGTCCGGCTGTCGTAGACATGCGCTGTTAATCGAGTTCCCCCACGCTGTTTTCAGCTATTTATAGCTGGTCCAAATTCCCACCAATGGCAAAATTTCATGAGAGATTTGGACCCATACGGAAACCAGCCGAGATTTCCCGAACAAGTTCTGAACGGTTTCCGGGTAACGGAACTTGCCGAAAAGACCGCAAATTGTCGAAACTGTAGTCCCTAGTCTTTACACTTTACACCGTCTTCGGACTCTTCGACTTCGTCCTGGCTAGGCGTTCCATGTTTTCAATGCTAAGTTACTTAACTAAGTACCCTTAAATTAGATGATGCTTTTAATCAGCGACCGGGTAGTATCTCCATTGGCTTGCTGGTAGACTTAGCCGGTCCGGACATAATGTAGGCCGTCTCCTTTGAATTGCAATAAGTAACACTCCTCTTCTTCTCAGTCTCAGGGCTTAGCCATTTTGGTTCTCCTCTAAACTTTTTCCCCATATTATTATTATTATTATTATGACGGCCAAACAAATACCCTAACAGGGCTTCAGCTATTTGTTAATAGTATTTAATACGGACTGTATCCACTGCCAGGTCTCACAAGCAAATAAATTGGAGGAAGTTGCAGGAGATGTGGTAGTGGTAGCTGCTACTCGTGAGTCCCAACCATCTAGTCTAGCCCCCATCCACACCACGCATAGCAGCGCGGGAAGTACGCTCGGAAGAACACTATGGCTAACCTGTGTCGGCGCGTAGTCTCCCGGACATGTCGCTATTATCTGGTGTATTGTTGCCGCGATGTGTTTGTTGAAGTCTGCATTTTACACATGACTGAGGCCCTGTTAGGGTATTTGTTTAACCGCCATAATATGGGGATGAAGTTTGGAGGAGAGCTTCTATTTTGTATGGCGCACATACCTAGTCAAAATCATAACCATAACCCGGATTTGCAACGCCAATGCCATGGGGGCCGCAAACGGAAATAAGGAATACAAAAAGAAAACAATTTCCACTGATTTTAGTCTCATAAAATCATAGCTGGTGTCCATTTAAGACGATGATAACAAAATTATAGAACAACGAACAAACTTTATTTTCAGAGGGTTACAAATTGGGCACGCAGGCCCGTCTGACATTCGGTCCTTCTAAGCACTTATCTTTCAGAGTATTATTGCCTGTTATCAATAATGCATGTTATGTATATAATAAAGAAATATGCATTATAGAATAATGCATACACATATCAATAATATGAATAAACAATCTTATACACTAAAATAATAAAAAGATAAAAGAGAATAAAAAGACAAATTATAAATACAATCTTTATACCGACATTAGGTTATCAATGTCAGACTTGGACATTAACAAAAGAACATGAGAGAAGACTAACCACCTGTGAAATGAGATGTTTGAGAATGGCTGCGAATAAAACCAGAAGAGATCGAGTGAGAAACGATGTGATTACAAGAACTATTGGAACCATACCTATCGTTAAATTTATTGAGAAGCAAAGAATGAAATGGTTTGGTCACCTAATGAGAATGGAACCAACGATGCCAGCATCAAGAGCATACAACATGAAAATCGAAACAACAAGAGGCAGGGGAAGACCAAGAAGAAGATGGATTGAAGGAGTCACGGACAACTTGAGACTTCATAACATCACGGCATATGAAGCGACTGAGCGCGCCCTGGCTCGGTTGCCGATCATCTGATAGACTGCGACGCCTAGCGACACAAGCAGATTTTGACAAAAGAAGAAGATACACTAAAATACACACGTACACATACTTAGATTCTCATACATACACACTCAAATTCAGACATAGGTAATACATAATACACACCAACACATACATTCAATCACATATACAGACACCCACATACGCCCACAATCACACATATACACTTACATACATACCTAAATACACACACGTACACCTACATACTTACACAGCTAAATTTACATACATACATCCACCAACATGCATACATGCAGTGTATTTACTAAATGTTAGGTGTACAAACACATATTGATCGAAGCATACGTCAATAACATCACCACATGGGTTTCGAGGGCCCCATGGGGGTGGGGTACAAGTATGCCATAAGAGACAAAAATGATTGGGAGCTTCATTTGAAACAGGAATAGTGCATCTATCCAAGTGGAAAGGGAACAGCCATCTACTCACAACTAAGCCAGTAAAGAGGGGGGGGGGGGGGGGGGGGGGGGCTTAATTATGAAATTAATAAACCATTCGTTAGCCTATTGAAACCTTCCATCCCAGTAAGACATTAAAAATTTTCTGACAAAATACCCTTTGAAAAAAAACCACTTGTATGTGTTTGTGAGTGAGTGTATGTATTCATCTTATCATCATTGCTTTAGATTTTCACCTTTTTTAATTCATATTATTATATGAACATAAGAGGCTGTTTTGATTTTTTTTTCTCCTTTAGTTCACTTTAAATAAGTTATTTACAACTGCAATGCTGTCTCTAGTATGAACTTTACCATCTTTTGTAATTCACTCAGCGGCCTATACAGTTTGGCTTCCACCAGTGTTTCTCTTGGTCAGAAGTTTTGCCTTGAAATCTTGTATTTGGGACAATCTTATAGGATTTGATCTGCTGTCTCAGGTGCCAATTAACATGTGCACAAAGCTGATTCACCAATCTTAAACTATGTGTACATGTGTCTGCAAAGCCGATTGTGCCCTGTTCTAAGGCCTAGAATAATGACCTGCTCTGGTCTTTTCATAATATGGAAATCGTCTTTTGTTAGTTTTGGTGGTTTTCTGATTGATTTAATTATTCTCTTCCTATTGTTCTTTAGTTGCACCTTCCTTTGCTAGTTTATCAGCTCTTTTATTTCCAGGAACTCCACAGTGGGACAGTATCCATTGCATAGCTACCTTATACCAGTTGCCTAGTTCAGAGAGTAGTGTCCATGTACAGTAGAACCTCGCTTAACGAGTAATTCGCATAACGAGCAAAACAAATTGTAAAAAAATGACTTGCTTAACGAGCGACGTTTCGCGTAACGAGTGGCGAGGAGAGGGAAAGTCCCAAATTGTGCACATGTTACATCAGTCTGTGTTTAGCCCACGTTCCAGTAGCATCATAGTGTCGCTTGTGATCATACATTTTCTCAAATTTGTGATATGTTGTGATATATGTACATGAATCCTCCAGGCCTACAAGAAGACCTCTCTCTCTCTCTCTCTCTCTCTCTCTCTCTCTCTCTCTCTCTCTCTCTCTCTCTCTCTCTCTCTCTCTCTCTCTCTCTCTCTCTCTCTCTCTCTCTCTCTCTCTCTCTGACTCTGAAGAATTTAAGTTCACCAAGATTCAGTATTTGCCTCCCAGCACCACTCTGTTATTCCAGCCCATGGACCAGCAAGTTATTACTAACTTTAAGAAGCTTTACACTAAAGCACTTTTCGAGCATTGTTTTCAGGTGACTGAAGGAACCAAACTCTCAAAGAGTTTTGGAAAAATCACTTCCACATAAATGCCTGCCTCAAGACGATTGACAAGGCAGGGGAAAGGGTTACCAAGAGAACCCTAACTTCTGCTTGGAAGAAGCTTTGGCCGGAGAGCGTTGTCAATTTATGACTTTGAGGGGTTCGAGACAGTACCTGTGGAACCTGTAGTCAACGAGATTGTGTCTTTGGCTACAATCATGGGATTGTAGGTGGGAGTGATATCTAAGAGCTAGTGAAAAAGCACAGCCAAGAGCTGACCACCCAAGAGCTTATGGAGTTGCATTGTGTTTCACAGCAAGAAGTTTTGGAGGAAAGTTTGTCAGAGGAGGAGGTAACAGAAAAGCAACAATCTTCTGGCGAAATAAGAGAAATGCTGAAAGCATGGCAAAATGTTGCATCTTACATTAAGAAGCATCACCCTAATAAGGAAGTGGCTATGCACGTTGCAAATTTATTTAATGATAATGCTGTGTCGCATTTTCGCCAAATTTTGAAGCTTTATCAAAAACAAATGTCTCTGGACATCTTTCTGGTAAAAAAAATATTTAGCTATGTATCATAATTATTTCGACTTTTTCCTGCAAATAGAATTAGCATTCCAGGTGGGTATTTCCATGTTTGAAGAAAAGATGAAGATAATTCAATCTCCTTAACAATATGCATCTAACTTTCTTTGAATAAACGTTATACATAGATTTTGTGAGTATTTTTTTCGACACGGAACACATTATCATATTTTACATTAATTTATATGAGAAAAATTGTTTCGCTTAACGAGTATGATTCTGGAACGAATTATGCTCGTTAAGCGAGATTCCACTGTATCTGGTAATTTTCTAGACTGGAGTGCCTGAAATACCGCTTGTGCATCTGTCAGGAAATAAGGAAATACCACTGGTTTTGAAATATACCCAGTGTTTAGCAGTTGCTCTACTGCTGTCTTGATGACTTGAACTTCTGCAATCATAGTTGTGAGAGCACTTTCCTGTTGGTATTTTGGCTGTATCCCAGATATTATTAGGGTGCCTAGTGTACACTCCATTCCTGATTGCATTATGTGCTGACCCATCTGTGTAAATAAAAACCGAATGATCCTATGGGTATTCATCATCAAGAAACTGAGGGTTGCTGTTTTACATTGCACAGTTTTGTTCTTCTTTGTCAAATATTCCTTTCACTTCTGTCTTGATATGTATTGGAAACATATTCCTTTCTTCACGGTGTCTATTCTGGAACAGCAATTAAGGGTCTATCAGTTGCAGTCAGATCAGTGGTTTGTCTGCATAGCGGTTTGGCCTTTTTTTTTTTAGTTGCCCTATAGCTAGATTTTTGGAATCTTTCATTCATGGGGTGCTGTTATGATTACATACAATTGCTATACGAAAGGTGGGTGTTAGGAAGGGCCCAATGTAAGACGGCCTCGGTGCCCAGTTTGTGACCTTTTTGAAATAGTTTGTTCGGGGTTAGTAATACAATTAAACAAAAATTGATTTACACATTAAAAAAAGTTACCTAAAATATAAAAGAGTAATAAATCACCTAACACAATCAGGTGAAGAATTAAACATTTTGTTTTCCCTCGGACTAAAATAAATGCATATAGTGACTCTAACTGCTGCAGCTCTGATTATCGATGGCTGAAAGCATTATAACATTATGATTAAAAAAAAAAGCAATTTTTGCCCCAGGGTAACATCTTTCCATCCAAATCCATTATTAGTTAATATAATCATATTCGGGTCTTCTGAACCCTGTTTAGGCACAACCAACCCATCTCATTAGCTTAGCTAGGCTTCATAAAATGTATTAAACAATTTGTGAAAATGGAGGCTTACAAGAAATCTTTAGACCCATCAAGAATGAAAACCGTAGGGAATGGAGAATAAACAATAACCAAATTCATATTCTGTTTAAATCATTTCACTGGCTTCACGAGGTCTAATAGACTGAAAAGGCTGGGAGATGTTGTGAAAATGTTTGATGACAGGTAAAAAAAAAACACATAAGGGAGTTGAATGATCCTAGACTACAAGGTGGACCAAGAAGATGGGGGAGAGATGATACAGACTGACTGACCTCCTGACAGTTGGTGTCACCAGTTGGAAAGAGAAGGCCAGCCAGAGAGATAAATAGAGACAAGTGATGCCTGCAGCAATGAACCTTAAAGGTTCGGAATGCTGAAGAGGAAGGTCTTGTATTTGTTCTGTTTGAAAATTGTTCTGAATGTGTGAAATTGTTCTGTATTTTGAACTTGAGAAGGAGACTGTCTTGCATTTCAGACATGTCTATTCCAAAAAATGGTTTCAAATACATGACTTATTTTTTTAAACTTGTATTTTTTATAAACATTTCAGACAACTCAGTACATTCTGATAGAAAACGAGACAGAGATAGAAAAAGATCACGCTCTCCTCGCAAGAGATCAAGAAGTCGTGACCGCGAGCGCAAAAGATCTAGGTCAAGAGACAGATCCAGAGAAAAATCACGTGACCACAAACCAAAACGTTCACGCAGGTATCAGAGAGATTTTTTTAAATTGAATATAGTTAAGATTTAAAATATATAATTACATTTCGGCACAGATTTGTAAAACTAATTGTCTGTTTCTCTGTATGGGTTCAGGGGTCACAGTTTGTGAACAAAAAGTTTGACCCACTGCCCCTGTCTTCTTTGCCTTCACTTGATTTACATTTTATTTAGAGGAAGTACATAGTTATGGAGCCAAAGAACAAGCAACAGTTTAAGACAAGATCCAAAGCACACACTGGACACATTACAGTCACCCAGTCATTGTAAGCTCTGGACCATCTGCTTGTCTGCCCATTTCTCGACTTTGATCTTGTTCAAATTGTGTGCGCACATCCATTTTACAAATTCACCTCTCAGGCAGATGCACTCCAACTTCACAGGAACTGCCTCTGTAAAAGCTAACTAATTAGAGCTTGTCAAAATCAGATGTGTTGGGTCGAAAGATGCCAATATCGCAACCTAGCTGGAAACCACAACCTGTCATTGTACTGGAAGTTGACAAGAATGCTTGGTAACTAATATCACACTTTTTCCACAACTTGTGAGTGATGTAATCAGTCACTTAACACATTTGGATAAAGAAGAAATAATTCCTGAAAACTTCCCTCAAAATACATCTGCCTGAAATGTGAGGAACTAACAGTTTGCTTACAAATAAACCAGATCTGTAAAACAGCTGTGCATGCACAGTTCTGGATTAAGACTATAGCTCAGGAGTGTATGAACAACCAGAACTCTCCCCCAAAGTTAACAAGCAGATTCCCCCCCCCCCCCCCCTGAGTTAACAGCCAAACACACACACACACACACCCCCCCCCCCCCACAGAGTTAACAACCAGAACTCTCCCCCATAGTTAACAACCAGAACTCTCCCCCAGAGTTAACAACCAGAAGTCCTCCCTCAAAGTTAACAGCCATGAATGCTAAGGAGAAGACCCCTGGAAGCAAGTCGCACACATGAAAATTCTGCGGTCGTTAGAAATTAAAACTGCACCCTGTAGCATTGTCCTAGAGAGGCTGTTAGATCTCATTACATATCTGTACTTACAGATAGATCATGTTTTTGTGCCTTTTGTGGAACCTGTTGTGTTATAATCCATGCCATGTAGCGTGGGTAATCATGGCTGTCTACAGCGTTACATCACATGCACAGTCAGTGAAGGTTGGCCACAGCAGAAGTATTCTAAACACTCACTGTGTTACAAATGAACCCATGGTCTCACAAACACACCTTTCATGGGATTGTTAACAGATGTACCATCTCCATCTCCAACATACATTTTATGACTTTGTTAACGGATGGACTGTCCCTCTTTCTCTTTAACTTGCGTGTCCTGACTTTGTTAATAGTGTACCTTTTCTCTCTAACATACTTTTCATGGCCTTGTTAACAAATATACCATCTCTCTCTGTCTCTGACATACCTTTGATGGCCTTGTTAACACCTGCCAGGAGGGATTTCTCTGCCTTGTTTGATCAACTTTAAGCTTACACTGACCAACATTTGTAATGCTCTATTTTCAGCCGATCGCCAAAAAAGAACAGGAGAAAGAAGCCTTACAAGTACTGGGACATTCCCCCACCTGGCTATGAGCATCTCACACCAGCACAGTACAAGGCCATGCAGGGTATGTTAGGGGGAGACTGTGAGTACTTTTAACAGGGCCACGTGGGGGGGGTTTTTATAAAAAAGGCCATTTAAGGGAGATATTGTACTTTTAATAGAGCCATGCAAGGGGAAGATGGTGGGTACTTTTAACAAAGCTATGTAAGGGTGATCTTGAATATTAAGAATCGACATCACAGTACTCGGGTCACCCCATAAGCCTCCGTCCCATCTTCAGCAGCAAGCAAAGAGTTATAATTTTGATGGCACCAGTAACCAACTGATTGTATTCAAGGCAAAGACAATGAGTACTTTCAACAGGGCCATGTAAGGGCGAGATGGTATTTTCAACAAGGCTATATAAGAGAGTAAGGGAGAGATGGTGCTTTTAACAGGGCTATGTAAGGGGATGAATGTGGGTACTTTTAACAGAGCCATGTAAGGGGGAGACAGTGGGTACTCTTAACAGGGGCAAGTAAATGGGAGACAGACAGTACTTTCAACAAAGTGATGTAAGGTGCTAGAGAGAGTAGGGGATATTTTTAACAAGGCCCTAAAAGGTATATTAGTGAGACCATGTGTGTATTGTTAACAAGGCCATGCAAGGAGTCGGGGGATGTGTACATATGTTAATCAGGCCATTCAAAGAGTGTATGAGATAGAGAGAGAGACATATGGTACATATTACCAGATCCATGCCGTGTATGTCAGAGAGGTGGGGATGTAAATTTGTTAACATGACCATGAAAGATATGTTATAGAGACGATTGGTTCATTTGTTAACAAGGCCATGAAAGGTATGTTAAAGAGAGAGATGGTACATTTGTTAAAAGGCAGTGAAGGGTATGTTATCTGAAACAAGGCCATGAAGGGTATGATAGATATAGTGAGAGATGGTATTTTTGTTATGAAAGGAATGTTAAAGAGAATTTTTTAACAAGGCGATTTAGTAATGTTAGGCAAAGATATTGAATACATTTGTTAGTAAACAGGCCATTTGTTTAATATCGGGTAAGTGTATTGTTATTAATATTGACAATAATTTGCAAAGCATTACAAGAGTGTAGTGTTTACGTTTTTAAAGATTATCTGCTTAAAGAAATTCTTTTATTGCGCAGGATAGTCTGATAAGTTCCCATACTTAGGAGAGATTAAGGTTGTTTTTTTTTAAAAAGCAATTTTATTTATGCACGCCATTTTCTACTGAAGACACTATAGAAGCGTAGCTGGGGTTATGCATGTAATGACTTTGATGATATATTTTTTTGGTCTCTGTATGGAGATTTGTGGGACACACTGTATAGCTGTGTTTTTGTTGTCTTAAGTTTATCCTTTTGTACCATTAAAGTATTGAGGTCATTTTTATTATGGCCAAGGCAAAAACGCCATCCGTGAAGCAATGCATATTGTCTGAACTGGCACTGTTTCTCTTTGAATGGTCAGGTTACAACACCACCTGGTCAACAGAATGACCATTTTGTTCAGCTAGTGAGTGTGGCTTTGCTACATATGCAACAAAAAGCAAAACAGCAGATATAAAAAAAGAAAAAAACAGAATTTTGAGCTGATTGAAATGATGAGGCAAGTTTATCGGCATGAGTGTTATTCAGATGGTGTTCAGTATTTAAAACTAGTGTGGGGAAGATTGAAGATGAAGCTAAACTGGTACAAGATGAAGCTAAACTGATTGCCAAAGTCAGAATGGACACACAAAGACTGATGTCTGATTGTGTGGTTGATGACCTGTTGGATTTGTTAAACGTTGATCCTGATAAACTTATCAGTTCAAAAACACACTGACAAAGTCAGAATGGACACACAAAGACTGATGTCTGATTGTGTGGTTGATGGCCTGTTGGATTTGATAAACTTTGATACTGTTTAACTTATCAGTTCCCAAAGTACTTTCCCAGTTTACAATATAATTTGTTTTCTGTTTGAAAATTGGTAGCTTCCTTCGAAGTCGGAGTACAGCTGCCCATGAGGCAGGGAAATGAAAAACGGCTGTACACGCAAAAATCAGGTCCAGGTGAAAGCCAAAAGTCCAAGCGGACGATTAACCGGGACCTTCCACTGGAATTCACAGCCGGTGATCGATAAAAAAAAAAAAAAAAAAAAATGGTAGCTTACCAGACTACATTAATTTTATCAGATCATAAATTTTGCATATTTGGGTGGTGTGCTTTGCTTTGTGGGTGACATTTTTATCGGGACTATAATAAAATCAGTTATATTATTTAATTGTCGCTCTTGGGGAATATTACGTGATGATGCCCTAGTCTCTTCTACGGGGCAGCTCTCGTACTCGCTCTTAAATAGACACTGCAGTGTTCGAGATTTCAAACCTAGCCATTTCCTCTTATTGTTGTAGCCGCCGGCCAGATCCCGCAGGAACCTGTTGTTAAGTTGCCCGTAGCTGTGGTTTCGGCTGACATTACCCAGGTTCCAGGCATAAGTTCCTTGAGTCGACAGGCTCGCCGTCTATATGTGGGCAATATTCCCTTTGGGGTGACTGACGTGAGTGTTTGTTAGTTCATGCTTGTTTTCCCGGTGCCATGGCTGAAGCACTGTCAGGACTTTCCCTGCTAGCTAGTGAAATTGACAAATGATTTTAATGACAACAAATGCAGACAAATGTTAGTAATTTAATTTAGAATGACATTTAATTGTGCCGATGTACATGGTGTCTGTATTTTTTTATGCGCAGTTTTTTTAACCTTCTAATATGAAGCTAAACAAGTTCTGATATTTTGGCTGTCTAAAGAAATCTTTCATTGGTTATTTTATTACTAGAAAAACTATGAAGCTTGCAACAGTCTAAGCAGTGTTTACCCGTTTTAAATTTGAACAAAGAAGACACAAACAATAGATTGCACAATTTATTGCCTGGCATATTTCACTGTATCTTGTCAGGTGCATACTTCAGTAACAACTACATAAATGAAGCAAATAAGTAAATCCTTTTAACTGAAGTTCAAATTCAGCAACAAACATAACTGCCTGTTTTACCAGGGCAGCCGTAAAGACAGAACCATACTGTAGTATGCACCTGATGAGATACAGCAAAATATACCAGGCAATAAATTGTGCAATCTGTTTTTGTGTGTCTTCTTTGTTCAAATATGAAACTTCTGACAGTCTAAGTTGATTGTTGATTTCGTTAAATACATTTAGGATGACCCCTGAAAGTGTGCAGTAAAAAAGAAACAAATATTACATTTTGTAAAGAAAGCTTGTTTATACTACATTAAAGTAACTTGAAATTGTCTCTTGTGTTGGCATCATTAGCTTGGACATTGAGAATGCGCTTAGTAAATACAGGATACCTGGATCGGTTTCAGCTGCAAAAGATTTGTCAGCAGAACCTTTGAGCTGGTTATGATAACACTTGCTAGAGCCGACCATTCAGGCATAGGGTAGTAGCAAACTTCTAAATGTAAAATTGCCTATTAAAATCACAAACAGCCTTAAAATGCTGGGGTTGGTTCTGCAATATCTTGTAAAGACCGCACAACTAACCATTATTATTTTGTAACATTAATGCATCCACATTATTTGAAGTTTAAAAACTGCACATGGATTTTTTAAACAGACACCATGTATATAATCAAATGGTCTTATCTGTATATTCGAAACTGATTTCTTCAGTTGTGGCACCGGTTGATATTTCTGTATTTTGTGACCTAGGGAATACCTTTGATGTTTTTATCTCTTGTTTCCCCCTTCCAGCTTCCGGCCAGATTCCAACAGAGCCTTTGTTGAACGCCCCAGCTGTTGGGCCAGTTAGCACCGACGCCAGTCTCAATTTTGCTGGCAGCTCCCTCAGCCGTCAAGCCCGCAGGTTATATGTAGGGGGTATTCCGTTTGGAATGACCGACGTGAGTGCAAAATTTTATACCTACCACTGAGGGAAACAACAGATAAAGCATTACTGTGTTCAGTATTCTGTAGATGTCATATTGTGTTTTCTGTTCAGAAGTGATGAATACAAAGATTAAACAGCATTAAAAGTCTGTGGTTAAGCACCAGCAAGTCAAAAAATGTTACAATTTTAAAAGATGCATCTTTCCTGTAGCAAACTGTTGATGTGAGTCATCTACTATTTCCCAGTCTTTAGGGTAGAAAAAAAGGGGTTGTGAGCTGAAATGCTATAGACAGAATCTCAAAATTCCATGGACAAAATAAAAGAAATAGTAGCATTCAAAAAGATCTGATCATCAAGAAAGATTGGCTGATGAACAGCCACTTGTCTTGAAAGCTGAAATATTTTGGTCACGTCAAACGCAACAGCACATTGGGAGGAAATAATATCAGGAGGCTGGGGCAGACTTAGATATGAACGTGCACTTGGCAGGAGAGCTGGCGGGATCCCTGGTTTCTTTCAGGCTACCCGCATGGTGAACACGACTGCGTATTGAATATTTGTAACTAAAGATTACTGTTGGTCTGCCCGGCACACCTGCCTCCTCAAGAAGTTATTGGTAGCTACAGAAATATTTTATACATGAATGATAACACCTTGGCTAGGTAGCAGATATTGAAAAAAAATGTTGCAGAGCAGAATTGTTTTCTTTCTTTGACATTTTTTCTTGTGCATTCATTGAAAGATGTAAAATGTGCCTGATGTTTACACCCTTTGGCTGACACATCTAACTTCCCGGTTTTTTGACATTTTAATGCTCTTTATTCTTTTATGTTAATTTTAAAATTGTGTTCTATTTTTGTTTTCATTTTTATTCTTATGTGGCCACAATACTGAACTCTTGTCATTTGTAAGCCCTTAGATAATAATTTATGTGTATTTCATACTTTAGAATATTGTCAGAACAAAATATAAGTCCTTTATTGCCCGTCGTTACCACTTTTTAAGGGGTTGTGCGGGTGGGGTTCAGCATGATGATTTAAGGCTGCGTTGCATGGATAGTGCAATCATGATAGACTGACCAGGATGGATATTTATTTATTTTGGGCCCAGAGTTAAAGAATTCATCCCACACACAAAAATGAAAGACTCCATCCCAAAGAAAATGAAAGACTCCATCCCAAAGAAAATGAAAGACTTCATCCCAAAGAAAATGAAAGACTCCATCCCAAAGAAAATGAAAGACTTCATCCCAAAGAAAATGAAAAACTTCATCCCAAAGAAAATGAAAAACTCCATCCCAAAGAAAATGAAAGACTCCATCCCAAAGAAAATGAAAGACTTCATCCCAAAGAAAATGAAAGACTCCATCCCAAAGAAAATGAAAGACTCCATCCCAAAGAAAATGAAAGACTCCATCCCAAAGAAAATGAAAGACTCCATCCCAAAGAAAAATGCAGTAACTAATCACAAAATACAGAACTAAAATGTAACCACCTTCTGCATTTGTCAGAAACTAATACAGGCTGTATCCAGATAGCCCAGCTCCGACATCTACATTATGAGAGGTGATAAACAGGACAAAGTAAGAGGATTTCTCCCTCACAACCTGATGCAGTAAAAGCAGTCTACACACCAAGAAACCAGCAGAGGTTTGCCAAACTGGTACTTTCAGCTGTGTAAAAGCACATTTAGATGTAGCCAGGTCAGGATTGGTCTGCAGGCACATTTAGATGTAGCCAGGTCAGGATTGGTCTGCAGGCACATTTAATTGTCTTTTACAGAATGCTTGTTAGGGAGGTAGTGGGTCTATTATTTTTGTAGGTCACAGTTCAACACGCATATAGTCTGATTAGCAGGTGACCTAGATTGGCAGTTTCTTCTACTGATTCTGGGCATTACATTGTCAGGAGTCTTATGTTGAATGCCTAGGAGGGGACAGTCGATAAGACTTGCTTTCAGATTCAGCTGCGACTCGCTGCAGCCCACGGGAAGTATTCAAAACCCGGCGGTTTCCGGGGTTAACCCAGCCTCTAGGAGATGGGTACAAGAGCTGACATTCTGGGGTAAATGGAGGAACATCACTGTAGCTACAGAGTTGGGTGCGGACGGCGACACAGGCGGACAGTTTCTTATTAGCTGTCCGTACTGGTGGCAGAGCTCTTACAGTTTATAACCGTGTGCAGTGACGCTGGTTTACATCTCCTGACTTTGCGTTAACCTTTTTACCTAGGAGGATGGTGGTGGGTAATGTATAGTTTTAGTTTTTATAATCGTTTATCATTGGGTGTTTAAAATTGTTCTAAACATTGATTTGTATTAATTTTACCTGTTATGTTATCAATTTGTAGGAGGCCATGATGGACTTCTTCAACCACCAGATGCGTATTACAGGCCTGGCTCAGGCAGAAGGAAACCCTGTAATTGCCGTGCAGATAAATCTGGACAAGAATTTTGCTTTCCTTGAGGTAAGTCTCCGTTGTAAGGGTAGGCCTGGAATGTTTAGATGGGCCTTGAGCTGTGGGGGTAAATCTTGAATGTTTGGGACATGCCTTGAATTTCAGGACAAACCTTAAATGTTTGAGGCAAGTCTTGAATTGGGAGGTGATTTTGAATTGTGAAATTAGTCTTGAATTCCATAATAATCCCCCAATGTTAAGGTAAGACCTGAATTCCAGGGTGACCCTTGAATGTTAAGGTGAGACCTGAATTCCAGGGTGACCCTTGAATGTTAAGGTGAGACCTGAATTCCAGGGTGACCCTTGAATGTTAAGGTGAGACCTGAATTCCAGGGTGACCCTTGAATGTTAAGGTGAGACCTGAATTTCAGGGTGACCCTTGAATGGGGAGGTCAGCCTTGAAAATGAGGATGACCTTGAATATTGTGACAGACCCTGATTTCCAGGCTGGTGTTTGAAAATTTTTGGGCGACTCTTAAAAATTGAGTCTTTTTAAAAATAGCAGTTTCCTTCATTCTCATTTTGTTGTGTTAATCTGCCAGATTTTTATTGCTGATATAATTGACGTGCTGCATTCATTAATTGGTTGTTTATCCTTTACCTGACACAACCCCAGCATTGTTTAATTTCTCTGATGCCAAATCTCATGCAGCTGGGATAGAGCCCGGTACTTTAGAATTATTAAGGGCATTCTAAGCCACAGACACGACCTCAAAGTATTTGTTGTAAATTTTAAGACTGCATCTATGATTCTAAATTGTACTTTTTGTGTGTTTGATTTCAGTTCCGTTCAGTAGATGAAACAACACAGGCGTTGGCTTTTGATGGTATAAGTTTTCAGGGGCAGCCGCTGAAAATCCGGAGGCCCAGCGATTACAAACCATTACCTGGTATGGCAGAGAACCCAACATTAGCTGTGCCAGGTAGGCCTCACTAGTCGTAGAACTGAGAACTTCTGTCTGTACTTGTCAGAGATGTCTTCATTTTTGATAGGAAATAAAGATGTCACCACTTTACATGTGATCAGATATTCTTCTTGTGCACAAGTAAGTAAAAAAAAAAAGATCCCTTTACACGCCCTTAGGCGCATTGGGCATACGGGAAGAGCACCCATATTTTTACAGACCATTCGGCACTCGGTGGGTAATGTGGTCAGCATTACGCCGGCCGTCTTTACTTTCCCAGGACAGTCCATCCTGGTACCTATTTGAGGCTGGGTTAACCTGCGGCGTCCTATACCACAATAAAAATCCACACAGCCTGCAATAGGTTTCGATCGCGGTATGTTGGATTACGATTCAGACTCGCAGCGCCTTAGCCACAGAATCTGCTTTTTTTGCACAAGCACTCTTTCATATTTGATTGGATAATTTGTGTGTGTGTCAGTAAACATTGATTTTGATTGGCTACTTTTCTTGTGTGCCAGCTATCATGACATGATTGGCTACTCTTCTTGTGTACCATCTATGATGAGAAAGGTGATTGGCTACTTTTCTTTTGTGCCAAGTATCATGAAGCACAAGATTCTCTTCCTGTGTACCAGCCATCACGACTTATATGTACTTGGCTACTCTTCATGTGTACAACTGAGCATGTAATCTTATGTTTAGATAGACCAAGACATTTGTTTTACAAGGTGGATATAACATAACTTCTGTCAGATTAAAAAACTTTTTTGCATTTTGCTCATATAGTTTCCCACAGAATAACATTCTGAAAATATTTTTGTTGGTAGCTTTTCTCATTTGTAAATCCTGCCAGAGCAGTCCCCTGTAGACCTGTCCATCTAATTTTAGAGTTTAATATAGGGCTTCCCTAGGTTTCCATTTATCTTGGAAGGCCATCTGTCCTGTTAATGTGTGTAAAAACTGCATTGCAAAGCCCACATGTAAATTATGTATGGGATATGTTTTGCAGTTGCAACATATGTTTGTTATCTCACAGGTGTCGTGTCTACAGTTGTCCAAGATTCAGCTCACAAAATATTTATTGGAGGGCTGCCAACATATCTCAACGAAGATCAGGTGAGTGACGGCCATGGTCGAGCCAGAGGTTCACCTCAAGTAGCCGTTTTTCATCCATTTTGTTTGGGGGGGGGTGTCAGCTTGGCGTTTTCTTCCAGAAAGTTTGAGCTCAGACTGATGTGGATGCATACAGCGAGCTGTATGATGATTCTTGCGTAAGATTTGTACTGTTTTCCATGAAAGCACTGCTACACATGGCTTTTTGTTCACTAATACAGGGATGCGCTAGACGAGTGGTTCCCGGCTAAATAAAACCTGTGCCTCTTTGCATCTCATTTAGAAACCCTGTAGCACCCTGCCTACCTTTTCAGACTTGCAGTTTTTTTGTGGTTCTATAATTTTAGTTCACCCCTATCTCAGGAAATCCAGTATCATGGGAGGTTAGAGTTAATCGTTACTCATTTCACACCATAACACCCCTATATTATTGGACTTTCCCCCTTAACTCTTTGGAGTCCCTGGGATAGGGTGAACTCAAATAAAAGAACCACCAGATTAGACTTTGCAGTGTCCTCACAGGTTGACACAAGTGTTTGGTTGATCACTGCATCACCAGTGTGCTGCCTACCCTAGCTGGCAAGGGTGATCATGAATCTACACATCTCGTCTCCAACTGCACGTGTCGGTGTGTGTCGTGGCACTCTGCCAGGACAAAAGGCTGTCAGGAATCTTCTCTTGTCTCTCTTTCTTACAAGTTGCCACAATAATATTTATCACTACAGGAAAAAATATCAGTCTTGAAGTTTAAGGATAGTGAAAGTAAATTTAAATGAAGAAGATAGCACCCTGAAGATAGTTTGTAGCATGGTAAGTTTCAAACGTAGGCTTCTGTATTGATCAAATTAATTATTATTTGAAATTCAGTCAGAAAAATGTTAGTTGGGTTCAAATAAATTTAAAAGTTTTTCAGGCGTTTGCTGATTTTTTCAGGGATTTATCTTTCAGCTTCTGTTCTACGTGAACCACAGCTGTGTCTAAAACAAAAAAAGATTTCCCCAGCTTCTTCTGTTCGACATGAACCACAGCTGTGTCAAAAACGCATTTTTAATTTTTCAGCTTCTGTTCAGCATGAACTTCGGCTTTGTCAAAATCGGGGTTTTATTTCAGCTTCTGTTCAACATGAACTTCGGCTTTGTCAAAATCTGGGGTTTTATTTCAGCTTCTGTTCAACATGAACTTCGGCTTTGTCAAAATCTGGGGTTTTATTTCAGCTTCTGTTCAACATGAACTTCGGCTTTGTCAAAATCTGGGGTTTTATTTCAGCTTCTGTTCGCAGTGAACCACAGTCGAATTGAAATCAGGGGTTTTTTTATATTTCAGCTTCTGTTCAGCGTGAACCTCAGCTGTGTCAGAATCCGTTTTTTTCCCAGCTTCTGTTCAGCAGGATCTTCAGCTGCATCAGTTGTTTGATTATAGCAAGCTGTTACTTTTGTTTGTTTTGTGTAGAACCTTAATGATTTCCTTATAATCATTAATGTAAAAGTTTTTGTAAAGAAATAAAAACAATAATAATTAATAATGATAGTAATATTTCAGTAAATGCTCTGATAGTTAACGTTGCGTGAGAAGTTACATTTATAAATTTAAAAATGAAATAACCAGATTTGAATTGCTAGAAAAATTGGAACACGAATGTTTATAGCATTGTTTCCATGCAGGCACTAAACATTTTTCTTCTTCTTTCTTTCCCTTCCATTCCCTAGCTTAGGGAACGAGGTTGAAAGTGCGTTAACTTACCTACTACATTGTAAACCTACCACAATGTTACTTTTGTGTGTGGCCAACCACGACCCAGGCAAGTGATATTAACCATGTACTATCACGGCAAACAGGACATGGCTAGTGGCTTTCTTAGTGTTCGGGTCCTAGGGGGAGGCTGCAGGCAGAAGCACTGGGACTTCTGATAGTTTGTATTTTGTGGACATGTCTGTGTGTGTGGAGAAAGAGTTGCTCATGTGTGGGGTACATATAGAACTGGGAAGTAGTCAGTTGTGGGTGCGTTGAGCTGGCTGTTCTCACGGCTAGTAAATTGAGTTGTTTACTCTGGTTATTATCACAGCTAGATGTGAGTAAAGTGCCTGGAGTACACCAGCTATTTTCACAATTAGTTGTGAGTACAATGCTTGGGTTACTCCAGCTATTCTAACAGCTAGCTAGCTGTGAGTAAAATATCTGGGGTACTCCAGCTATTTTCGGTTAGTTGTGAAACACACCTGGGGTACTCCAGCTGTTTTCACAATTAATTGTGAGTACCGTGCTTGATTACTCAAGCTATTTTTAGTTGTGAGTACAATACTTGGGTACTCCAGCTATTCTCACAGCTAGTTGGGGGAGAACACCTGGCGTACTGCAGCTATTCTCAAAGCTAGTTGAGAGTAAAATGCTTGGGGTACTGCAGCTTTTCTCACAGCAAGTTGGAAGTAAAATGCTCAGAGTACTACAGATATTCTCACAGCTAGTTGGGGGAGTAAAACGCCTGGGGTACTCCACATGTTTTCACAGCTAGTTAATAGTAAAAGCTTGGGGTACTGCAGCTTTTCTCACAGCTGTAAAATTCTCAGAGACTCCAGTTATTTTTACAGCTAGTTGGGAGTAAACATCTTGAGTACTGCAGATATTTTCACAGCTAGTTGTAAAACATTGATAGTATCGGTCTGTAATTGCTGGTCCTATGAGTAGTTTAGAGCTGGTCCTGCATCTAGTCTTGTAAGTATAAGGCTTAGAATACTCCTGCCGAGCTTGCAGCTAGTCATATAATGCATTAAGCGTACTGTGGTTGTATTTGCAGCTCGTTTAATGAGTAAAAGTTTGAAGTACTCCAGCTGTTCATGCAGCTAATCGTATGAGTAGTTTGAAGTACTCCGGCTGTTCCTGCAGCTAATCGTATGAGTAGTTTGAAGTACTCCGGCTGTTCCTGCAGCTAATCGTATGAGTAGTTTGAAGTACTCCGGCTGTTCCTGCAGCTAATCGTATGAGTAGTTTGAAGTACTCCGGCTGTTCCTGCAGCTAATCGTATGAGTAGTTTGAAGTACTCCGGCTGTTCCTGCAGCTAATCGTATGAGTAGTTTGAAGTACTCCGGCTGTTCATGCAGCTAATCGTATGAGTAGTTTGAAGTACTCCGGCTGTTCCTGCAGCTAATCGGGCTGATCTTACGTCTAGTCTTGTAAAACTGGGGCTGTATTTTCAGCCAGTTATGTAATTAGCAGTACTCTGGCTGCTTATGCAGCTAGTTACCCAACTAGAAATGTGGGGTGCTTTTGCTATATATCTGCTGCTAATCGTGCAGCTACAAGCTTGGAGGGCTCTGAGCATAATTATATTTTGATGGAAGAACATGGTATATATGTATGTTTAAACATGCCTGGAATGTAACTTAACTCTTAAAGGATGGATGGTTTAACTGTCCGAGTAGGATTTTCTTCTTACTCTTTTGAGATTTCATTTAAAGTTTAATGATCAGCTACTCTGGAAAGATAAAAATGCATTATTGGACATTGTTAAAACTTATAGCTGTGGTCAAAATTAAACGGAAGTAGGCAATTGCTGTCAATCATTTACGTCAAGAATAATGGCCTTCCATCCTTTATGAGTTAAACTGATACTTGAGACTCTTCAGCAAGGTAAGTGCTTCTCTAGATGTGCGTCAAATTTTATACATTGACGTTTGTAAGTGTTCGGTTTGCACACGATGTTTGTCAATGTTTGTACAAGATCATTCAGGTTTGTCAGCGTTCTGTTTGTACACATTGTCAGAGTTTTAAAAAAAACATGAGTAATTCTCAGCCCAACCCCTGATGGTTTATAGTACTGAATCTTCCTCTTTCATTCATCAAAAATATTCTGTTATCTGCTGTAGTATCTAGTAACAACTGAAATATTTTTCTTCAATTTAAAAAAAACACAAAAACTTTTACCAGCTGTAAGCTCTAGCAGAAAATTCTGGTTGTTGTCCACTTCTTTAGTCTTGTTCCAGAACCCGAGTTTTGCTTACACACCCGCTTTACACACCTGGCTTATTTGTAAGCAGATTTAATTCCTTCTCAAGCTGATGCACTATGACTTCGAAGGAATATTTTATTTTGTTTCAGACCATTCACTGGTCCATAAAATTTTGCTTCCAGTGCTGTTTCTCTAGGCTAGAAACTAACTCTGGTATTATTGACAAATTCATTGTAAGATTCCTCCTACTCCTCCATTTTTAACAGCCTGCCGAGCTGACTCATTTGTCATCATCTATGACAGGCATGTGGTTGTTCCAACTATACGACTCTGACATCTGGATTGGACTTGTAGTATTTCACAGGAGTGCGGAGTCATTTTTTTTAATTTTAAGAAAAGGAAGCAAATCATTAGGGGTTTGGGTTTTGTTTGTGTTTATGTACAGAATCTCCTCAACGTATGACTGCTTCCCTCTAAAACTAACAGGTCGTAAGTGGAATTTGTATTTTTTGAAACACGTTTAAAAATTGTGCACAGTCACAATTCAATCTATGTGCGTATAATTATTGTACATAATGTGAAAAATACATATGCACTCTACTGGATCAGTTCCGAGAACGTTTGTTGATACTGCCAGTGAACAATAACCTTTCTGTGTTTAAATTTGAAGTTTTTTTTTTATCCGTGTGTGCTTTTGTCAGTGAGGATGTCCATAAGAGATGGTGAATATGCACGTGGATTAGATTCTATTTGTGAAGTGGTGGTTGAATTTGATATGTCTAAACTCGGCAAGTTTAACCTGAAGTAACCGGCATCTATTTATATTGTGTGTGTTTTCAGGTGAAAGAATTACTGGTCTCCTTTGGGCCTCTCAGTGCATTTAATCTGGTCAAGGACAGTGCCACAGGTCTCACCAAGGGATTTGCTTTCTGTGAATATGCCGATGTCTCCGTTACAGATCAGGTCAGTTGATACAATTTTATTGTTTTGTTGTTGCTGGCTCTGTCAAACAGTCTACTTAGTTGAGAGGATGGGGGTTCCCTGTGTGGGTTCCGGGGCCCCATTATAGGGGAAACAAGAATAGACCCACTGGCTCCCAAACAAGTATGTCTTAGGGGTTGACTAATTAGGGACATCCTTCAGAGTCAGAGTGCATCTGCCTCAGAGGCAATGAACCACAGGTCTGCATACAGATAAGCCAGATCTGTGAAACAGATGTGCAAGCAACACTCAGATTCTGGAGCAGGACTAATATCCAGTGATTGCAAAGAAGAAAAGTGGATAGGTGACAGTGAAAGTTGTGGATTTCATGTGGAATGTTTGACACTGTGGGTTCCCGGTCCCTATTGTGGTTGGGAAATGACCCACTGCCCCTCTCCCCCTTAACAAGTGTGTCATTCAACTGGCAGCAAGTGGCCCATGGATCATTGCCAATTGAATTGTGTTAAACATCTTTCTATGCAGGAGCTAGGGGCTCTGGCCTGTGTGATAATCCTCATGTTCAAATTTTTTCCCCCTGAGTGAACTAAACCGAAAAGACCTATCATAGGAGGTGACCCAGGAGTATTTTCTGTGAAGACAAAGTGCATCTGCTCAATTGGCAAGAAGGCAACAGCCTGCATAAAAAATCAGCTAGACCTTGCATGCCAGATTTGCATGCAAAACTGAAGATTAAAGTTCAGAATCAGATAAACAACCAGAACTTTCTGCCAAAATTTACAGCTTCACAGGGCTCATAGCCACCCTTGTAAGCTTAACAATCCGTTGAAAGACAGCTTGCCCTTTTAGAGTCTTCTAAAGACCTGGACAAGTTCAAAAAGGGACTAAAGAACTTGAAATTTGCTGACAGTAACCTTGAAATAAAAAATCAAACAAATCAGAAATAAAACACTGAAAGATTTGTTAGGTACAGAAGAAATTTCACTGTTTTTGCAAATAGGATTGTACGGAGAATCTAATCTTGTTGTTTTATCTTGCAGGCTTGTGCTGGTCTGAACGGTATGCAGTTAGGAGATAAAAAACTCATCGTCCAGCGGGCCAGTGTCGGGGCCAAGAATGCCCAGCAGGTGAGATGTGTTGTTGAATGTTCTATGTTGCTGACTTTTCCTCTTATAGGTTATGCCATGTGTAGGCATGCCTGTCACAGCCTTCTGTCTCCTGTACTTTCAGTCATTTCTGATTCAGATCTTCTGTGACATAATATCAGATAGATAGATAGATAAGCCATCCAAGCATGTTATCTTTCCCTCTGGCTCTGTCCAGAAGTTACCAAGTTGTCAAGTCCATTTCTTCTCATGTCATGTCAAGAAAAGAGGATCTATGTTGAATTGTAATCAGTTTAGCATCTATGTTTAATTGTTGTATTTAGATTAGCATCTATGTTTAATCGTTGTAATCAGTTTAGCATCTATGTTTAATTGTTGTATTTAGATTAGCATCTATGTTTAATCGTTGTAATCAGTTTAGCATCTATGTTTAATTGTAATCAGTTTAGCATCTATGTTTAACTGTTATAATCAGTTTATCATCTATGTTCAATTGTTATAATCAGTTTAGCATCTATTTTTAATTGTAGTAGTCAGATTAGCATCTATGTTTAATTGTTCTGATTAGTTTAGCATCTATGTTTAATTGTTCTGATTAGTTTAGCATCTATGTTTAATTGTTCTGATTAGTTTAGCATCTATGTTTAATTGTTCTAATCAGTTTAGCATCTATGTTTAATTGTTCTGATCAGTTTAGCATCCAAATTTAATTGTTCTTATCAGTTTAGCATCTATGTTTAATTGTTCTAATCAGTTTAGCATCTATGTTTAATTGTTATAATTAGATTAGTATCTATTTTTAATTGTTCTGATCAGTTTAGCATCCAAATTTAATTGTTCTTATCAGTTTAGCATCTATGTTTAATTGTTCTAATCAGTTTAGCATCTATGTTTAATTGTTATAATTAGATTAGTATCTATTTTTAATTGTTCTGATCAGTTTAGCATCTATGTTTAATTGTTCTGATCAGTTTAGCATCTATGTTTAATTGTTCTGATCAGTTTAGCATCTATGTTTAATTGTTCTGATCAGTTTAGCATCTATGTTTAATTGTTCTGATCAGTTTAGCATCCAAATTTAATTGTTCTTATCAGTTTAGCATCTATGTTTAATTGTTCTAATCAGTTTAGCATCTATGTTTAATTGTTATAATTAGATTAGTATCTATTTTTAATTGTTCTGATCAGTTTAGCATCTAAATTTAATTGTTCTGATCAGTTTAGCATCTCTGTTTAATTGTTATAATCAGTTTAGCATCTCTGTTTAATTGTTATTATCAGTTTAGCATCTCTGTTTAATTGTTCAAGGCAGTTTATGACTTTCATCTGTCGCGAGGAGGACTGCTCTACATGTTTTTCTATTCTTTAAATTCTTCTTTTAAAAAGTCTTTTACAGAGTGTTATAAGATCAGTAATTAAAGCCATTTGGAAAGGGAAAGCCAGATTAAATTTATGGATCATATAAAAAAAACATGGTGGGTGCAAGAAAAAGAGTAGACAAGATGTTTCTATAGTCATGTGTAATAGCAGTAACAGAAAGTCTCTAGTTGTTTTGAAGTTTGAGGTTTTGAACCATGGATCAACATCGTGGAACACGGGTAGCAACCCATAAGTGCTCCAGTCTTCTTCTAACTCAAGTCTAAGTCTAAAGAAGCTCACTGAGGGTACATTTTAAACTCTAAATTTTTCCCGGGCAGCGCCGTTAGGCTACTTTCGATTTCCAACTGTTTTTTTTTAATGTGCGCAACAGTGCAACGGGCGTCCGATCTCACTGCCCAGAGATCAGGGGGAATTACTAGAAGTCCAAGTCCGCGTGAAAAAAATCCCATCCCTAAAAAGGGACTGAACCCGGAACCTCTAGCAGTTGAGGCGGACACCATGCCCTGCGACCACGCAGCTCCCCAAAAGTTGTAAATACATTGATGTAAAGTTGCAAGCAAAAGACCCTTTTCCACATCTTAGGCTTATTAGGCACATAAGGCTAGACATAATTTTTTTTAGACCAATTGACACTTGGTGGGTGATATGGTCAGTATCTTGCCAGCTGGATCGACCTAGGAGCCTAGGTCATTTTAATCAGTTCGATTAAGAACCTATGACCTTTGTGAAGTCGCAAAGTCAACGATATTTGAGCCTATCTCTTTTAATGCAGCAGGCGCCTGTGCAGCTTCAAGTGCCGGGGTTGAACCTCAACCAAGGGGCAGGCCCAGCAACAGAGGTCCTGTGTTTGATGAACATGATCACACCCGAAGAGTTGTTGGACGAGGATGAATATGAGGGTAAGTCTTGTCTTTGTTTGCTGTCTTCCCTGTGTGGGTTCTGAGGCCCCATTGTGGGAATAACATGAATTGACTCACTTCCTCCCCATCAAGTGCGACATAGGAGTCGACTAATTGGGGGCTTTCTTTGAAGTTAGAGTGTATGTGCCCAAGAGGCAAGGAACTGACAGTCTGCATATACATACGCCAGATATGTGAAACAGATGTGCATGCAACAATCTCCTCTGTAGTGAGCAACTTAGTTTAACGTGTTCTGTTTTGACACAATGAAATGTGAGAGCTGTTGTGAGAATTGGTATAAGCAAAGTTGAGGGCAACTTTTTTTTTGTTTCCTACCATGAGTAACTTGCAGTTCTTTCTTATATTTGACATTACCAACCTTTTTGGTTATTCGTGGGAATGGGTTTGTTTCTTCATCTCCTTCTAAATTGATGAACTGGCAGAGCGCAGAGTTGTTCTGTTTGTCGTAACGAAATATGAGGGCAAGTCACTGGAGCATTTGGGTTTCCTATTTCTCCTCTTCTGAAGTAACTTTTTTCCCTGGGCATATAGTATGGACATGTAATAAGGTCTAACGGCCTCTCAAAAACAATTCTGCAGGGCTCAGTAGAGAGAAAGACGAGAAGAGGCAGACCAAGAAAGACGTGGTTACAGAACCTGACTGATTGGACAGGCCAGGCATGCAACCAAGAAGTCCATCACAACTGACCCCCAAAGGTGGAGAGAGATGATCAGACAGTCAACAGAAACTCGTGACCCAACAACACGCAGTGTTATGGGATGATGATGATGATATGGATTTGTCATATGATGCAAGAAAAGTTTCACCTAACGATTGAATGTTGGAAGTTCTCTGATGGGTTTAGACCTCTGCAGCTGAACTACTTGTCAGATTAAATCTTATCCACATATTAACAGCTCTGCATTAATGGAAGCCTTCTTGGGTAGTGAGGACTGCCCATGTTCTCACCTTGAGGGCAAGCCTGATGGTGTCCTGTAGGATACCCCAGCACCTCCATTCTGAGACTGATTGGACGACACCCCCCCCCCCCCCACCACCACCACCACCACCACCACTCTGAGGTTCTGAGGATAAATAGCTGTTTGCCTCCCCCACAACCCTAATTTTTGAGACCCTTCATCCATTCAGTGATAATGTTTTGATGCTATGCTACCAATGTAACGATGACCTTGGCCCTTAAATGGGTACCAGGGAAAAGTCCTGGGAAGTAAAGGTAGCCAGCATAATGCTGGCACATCACCCACAGAGTGCCAGTTGGTCTATAAAATATAGGTGTAGTCCTGAAAGCCCAGCACACCTAAATGCGTGATAAGGGGGACTTAACTCTTTCTTTCTTTACTTCACTTTTCTTTACTCCACTATACTTTACTTTACTTCACTGTTACTTCTCTTTACTTACTTAGCTTCACTTTACTTTATTTTACTTTACTTCACTTTACTGTCTTTACTTCACTTTTACTTCTGTTTTCTTACTTTACTTCACTTTTTTTGCTTCACTTCACTTCCCTTTCCCTTACTTCACTTTACTTACTTTATTTCGCTTCACTCCCTTTACTTTGCTTTACTTTTTTCGCTTCACTCCCCTTCCTTTCCATTTACATTACTTACTTCACTTTACTTGCTTCCCTCCCCTTTCCTTTACATTACTTACACCATTTTACTTTCTCTACTTTACTTTGCTCTACTTCACCTTACTTTTCGCTGCCCTTCCCTTTACTTTAACATTATAGCTGTGTTGCTAGTTTTATATTAATGTTTTCTAATCATTTTGTGCAGATATTGTTGAGGACGTGAAAGAAGAGTGTGGCAGATACGGAGTTGTGATGAGCCTCGAGATCCCGAGACCCATCAAAGGAGTGGAAGTTCCAGGAGTGGGCAAGGTAAGGGCTCAGACCTCACTTATTCTATACGAGAGTGCATGGAAATACTCATTTCATCTCTGCCCATGTGGAGTGAAATCTATTTCTTGTGCTACATTCAATTAACCGGAATCTTTCGCTGAGCAACCTCCTCTTTGTTTGGCTAGGCCTTCCAGTACAGTTGTATTTTAGATCATCTAGTTTGTGTTACCATGTTTTATGTGAAACGCTGAGTTTGCCTTGACATTTTTCTTTTTTAGTGTTTTGTAATTTTTGTGTGTGGATGCGTTGTTGTTCTTGTTGTAATCAGTGGAATATCACTTGAATCTGCGCCCCCGGCAAAATAATTGGTGGGGGGGGGGGGGGGGTTTATGCTGTATTCTGACTGAATAATTATCTCTTCATTTCCCAGCTATTTTTTAAATATGTAACTTATCCACTGTACCGTCGGTATCTTATTATTTTGACTTTGTACAGCCAAATATTTTTGAGTAATGACTGTTTATGGTAGATGAAGTTAGGTTAATAGCTGCTTTAGTTTCAGAAAGAATAAACTATATTGGTTCCCAGTAAATTGTTTTCTTTGAGTGAAATAGCCCAGCCATATTGTGCAAGTTGTGCGGTAGGAAGCTCATGCCCAAGGAAGCAGAAAAGGAAAGACAAGACTGTCGCAATTTGCAAAAGGACTGATGTAGCAAAGCTTCAGAGAGGAGACTTCTAAGATAAAGCCAACCTCATTTCAATTGATTATCAACGTTTCTGTGTAGACTGTGGCAGGGTGCCACTCCCGTATTGGGCTTTACGGTCACCAGAGGCGCTGTTGCAAACACCAGCAGCACTGCTTCGAGGTTGCTGGGGATGATTGATGGTGCCTCTGCACTTAACGTCAAGTTGCTTAGGAAAACTGGAACATTCACCTTCTTGGTGGCTAGGATCTAACACTTTCATCTTTCTTGTGGCTAGGACCCCCCCCCCCCCCCCCCCCCCCCCCTCCCCCTCCCATCCTGGGGTTATCCTCAACATCTGCTTAAACTTTGACCTTGTTGTTTATACTCATCTGGTTAAACTTTGACCTTGTTGATTATACTCAACATCTGCTTAAACTTTGACCTTGTTGTACCCAGCATCTGGTTAAACTGAAAATACTAATCTGGTGAAACCAAACATTGTGTTGTTTATACTCATTTGGTCGAACATAAACTCAGTGGTTATACTCGTCTGTTTAAACTTAAACCTTCTTTGTAACATTCAGTACATGGTTAAACTAATTACTTGTAACTTCATCTATTTGCAGATCTTTGTGGAGTTCAACTCTATCATAGAATGCCAGAAGGCCCAAGCAGCGCTGACTGGCCGCAAGTTCTCTAACCGTGTCGTCGTCACCTCTTATTTTGACCCAGATCGCTATCATCGCCGAGAATTTTAAGTTCGGAAAGGACACTCAAATGTTTACCATGCTGTTCCATGTTGTTTCTCTCACGTCATTTGTAACATAATAATTCACCTAACACCCCCGCTGGCAGTGAGCAGAGCCAGATTTCTTCATGATGAGGGTTGCTTCATCGGCATCAGAGTTCTTTTCATGTAGTTTTTACATCTAACATTTGGGGAAGGTAGCATTGGGTGTTCATATCTCTCCCTGTTATTTTTACTTTATCTTTCAACAGCTCTGTTGTCAGGGAGAGATAAGGTTCTGTTTCCTGCTCTTCTGGTCGCCTTGACCATAGCTGCACCATAGTGTTGAGAGTTTCTCTGATGTTATCTCTCTCTGTCTCTGGGTCTACCCTGTGCTGTACCTCCTCTTTTGGTGTGTCCCTTCACAAGGCATTCCTGATGTGCAGACCATTTTATTTGCCTTCTTTGTGTGTAAGCTGGTATCAGTTTTGTTCTTTTGTTTCTTATGACTTCATTCTTGATTGATCTCTGGTCCCTTCTCAGAAATCTCATTTCCATGGTTACTCTCCCCTTCCCTGCTTTTTCTTTCTTTTTACTTTGCTCATCATCATCATCATTATGTGCACGATGACAATTGAAAGGATGCCTGAACAAATGGACCATTAAGGTTGACAGTTTCACCTCATTTCTTCAAGTTTTTTTTTTTAATAATGTGAGGTATTTATTATTAGTGTTGGCATCTTGAGTTAGGCTTCTTTGATTATGTGTGAATTTTATTGTGGCTGGCTTCCACTGAGCAAATTCTCATTTAGTGGTGTTCAATAACTATTTCATGCCAGAGGCCAGTGACAAAAGCTATAAATCAAGTGAGATGCAGTCCCTGGTTCTCAGAATGTTAATGTATTTATTGCTGCAAAAACAAGGATAGGTCTGTATTTCTGTTAGCTAAGACTCCTACAATGATATTGTGGCAAGTGTAAAACTACGCAGCAAGGAAAACTGACTGGTAAAACAGCATCTTACCCCAGAGACTGAAATATTTTGGCCATGTCGAATATGAAAGTGGATTGGAAAGAACAGTAGCAATAGGAAATAGTACCGGGCAAGAGTGACGGGAGCTAGCTAGCACAAGTTATAAAAGACACCTTTGGCGGGAGAGCTGGTGAGGGACCAAGATTTGTTTAGGGCAGTCTGTAGTGGGAGCCAGGTTATAAAAAGACCTTTTGAGAGGATGATACACAATAAATCGGTGTTTTTGATGTACCGTTTCTGACACCGCTTTGCAGGCATAGTAAGCTTTTACCTAAGGGAGTAGGTATTTTCGACTAAAAGTTTTGTAGTGAAATTGTTGAGACTTGCAGGAGGGGATGTTAGTTCTCAATGAAAATTTGTATTTTTGTTAATTAACATTACAGGTTAGGACTGCATAGATAGCTAGGCTGCAGTAAAATGGTTGAGACTTACAGTTACTTGTTTTTGGCAATAAGATTTATGTCTAACATTCAAAAAAAGAAAGTCCTCATTTTGTATTGTTAATTGAAATCAAGACCTCACCACTAAGTGTTCAAATATTTAGCAGTGTGTACAGCCACTTCCACGTAAAGACAGCCATTTTCCCCCTTTGAAGTGCCATTTCTAACATTTTTGTTCAAACCAGCGACAAATCCTGCCTACTCCTTCTTCTTCACGTTTACCAGCTGTACACTCTGGCGGAAAGTTCTGGTTGATCGTCCACTACTGAACTGCAGTCCTGAGTGTTGCGTGTGCATCAGTTTTACAGATCTCATTCTCTTGAATACAGACTGTTGGTTCCTTGCCTCTCCGGCAGATGCACTCCGACTTCAAAGGAAGCTCCCCAATTAGTCGACTCTTACGACATGCTTTTGGGGAGGCAGTGGGTCAATTCTTGTTTTCCCCCACAATGGGGCCCCGGAACCCACACGGGGGATCCTGCCTACTAATGGGAAAGGTCTTATGTTTTAATTGGGATTCTACAGTGAATTGAAGAGTGGATTTTACCATTTAGTCGTCATGAAATCAGTTTTGTCTTTCTGAAGCACCATTTCTAACATTCTGTTTGAACCTGTAGTAAATCCTACATAAAGGGATAAGTGTATATTTTAAACTGGGATTCTACAATGAAATTAAAGATGCTCTAGAGGTGGATTTTACTATTTAGTCATGAAATCCGATGTTTGTTTCTGAAGCACCATTTCTAACCCTGTGCTTCATCCGGTAGGAAATTCTATATTGTGGGGGTTAATTGTATTTTAATGTACCCTTGAAATTTCAAAGATCTTTTTCTACAGTAAGCTTTCATCCGGTAGGAAATTCTATATTGTGGGGTTAAGTCTAACAGTAAAAATATTTTTTACTGTAGTGTTGTTAAATGTACCCTTGAAGATTTCAATAGATCTTTTTCATTTTATTTTATTGGTTTGCTTTTAATTTGTTTGTGTGAAAGACATTGATGTTGATAGTCTGAGATTAACAACATAACCACACGCAGTAGACCTGGCAACTTAAGTTTGGAGAAGCCCAAGGGCCTTTGACAGACCAAAAAACACATTGAGAAACCTAAGAGTCTTTGACAGACCAAAAAATACAGGGAGAAACCCAAGAGACTTTGACAGACCAAAAAACACGTTGAGAAACCTAAGAGACTTTGACAGACCAAAAAATACAGGGAGAAACCTAAGAGACTTTGACAGACCAAAAAACACGTTGAGAAACCTAAGAGACTTTGATAGACCAAAAAATACATGGAGAAACCTAAGAGACTTTGACAGACCAAAAAAACACATTGAGAAACCTAAGACAGGGTTCGTAGTGGACCGGGAAATTACCGGGATTTTTTTCGTTGACCTTGAACCGGGATTTTTAGCTTATAAAAGACATTCCGACCTTAAAAACCCGTGAATTTTGACCCAACAAAGAAATCGTCAGAAATCCTGTGTTTTTCAGCACAGGCAATTTTGAGGGAGCCATTTGGCTTTTTTGGCCATTTGGCTAGTTTTTGGCTACTTTCGTTGTATGGTCGTTTCAGGTGTGAGGGCAGCTGATTATTGGCTATTTTCAGCCGAAATGGCTTGTTAAAGGCCAGGGGAGGGCGGGCTTTGTTGCTGATCATGAAAACATGCAGACAGCAGCGGTGTGGCATGGGGCGGGAAGTAGCAGATTCCGTCTCGCGCGCGTGTGTGTGTGCCTTTGTTTCTAGCGAGTCCGGCAGAATGAACAGTTTAAATCGTTTATGGCCGTGGTTTCTAGAAAGGATTACATTGGGAGATGGTGGGGCTCGGTGCAGTTGTATTTATAAATAGAGTCGCCGTGGTGGGGGCTAAGCACGGCCTTCTCTATTAATTAGAGATGGCATTGGGGCTAAGCAAAGTGACTGCAGCTGGATTTCCCAGTTCTATTTTTGGCCTGGATTTATCTTTACAGTGTGTTTGGCGATCAGTATTGTAATTCCCCGAGATTCCCTTTCTGTGTATCACCCCTAAAAATCTCTCTCTTCCTCTCCTCTTTCACTCTTCTACCTATTGCTCCTTCCTTCACCCCGTTCTCCTGCATTGTCTCTAACCCTCCCATTCTGATCTTCATCTTCTTCTCTTTCTCTCTATCTTTCCATTGACTCTCCATTTCCTTGTCCCCACTCCTTTTTTCCTATTTTATTTCTTGTTTAAATGTTTAGTAAATGTGCGGCCTCCATAACTCTTCCTAGCAACTTAAGTACACAGGAAGTTGTATTGGGGGGGGGGGGGGCATTCTGTGTGAACATGGTGGATATTTCTTTTGATGTGTTTTTGTTTTCCCCTAGCGGCCTTAATCTCTGTCCATCTCCCTTCCCGCAAATCACATTTTTGTCCTACCTGTTCCTCTCTCTTGACTGTCTGTGTCACTGCTTTCCTCTCTTCCTTTGTATTTGCCGCTCTCCCTCACTCCCTCCCTCTCTTTCTTCTTTCTCCATACCTTCAGTTGGTGTATAAGGTTATGTGTTGCATGAGGCAGAAACATCTCATGTCCATCATTCCCCCCCTCCCACACATTAAATATATGTGTACTTTTAAAAACACATTTGCCGTCACCTTCCCCCCCCCCCTTTTCCTCCTCCCACATTGATGACAAACCTAGGGGAGGGAGTGCACCCCTTCCTGCTACCTTCTTCCCTCTATATCTCATCTTATTTCTTACTCCCTTCTTTCTCTCCCTGTCTCATTCCCACTTTATTTTCTTAAACTTTATTCTCTCACCTCCTCTGTCTCACCCTTACCACCTCAGCCTTCTACACACTTTCCAACCACCTCCTCTCTCCCCTCCTTTCTGTAATTGGAAAAACCAGAAATAAAATGAAGTCCACTGCTGCCCTGACCTATTTATGTGTCTGACCTATTTATGTGTGGGGTTTTGGGTAAACTTCTCTATTTTCCACCAGTGGTGGGTTGGGATCCCCTGGACTTTTTTTTTTCTTCATAAAATGACCTTGGCTCTCAGGTCACCAGCCTTAAGTGTAAGAAATTGAATTATTGTTGTCACACACAGATAGGACAAGCAAGGGGCAGTAGGGGTTAGCACTGTTGTTTTTGGACCACGGCCACATTCACATTGGGAGGAGGGTAGGAACCGGAAAAGTGGCCTCACTTAAAGATTTCTAATTCTATTTTGGGGCACTCATTGTTCTTTACACCCCCCACCCCACAACCGTGTCTTACCTTTCTTCTCTCACCCCCTTCTCTTTCCTTTGATCTTCTACTATTCTCATTTCTCTCTCCATTCTTTCCTCTCTTCCTTCCTTGCCTTTCTCCTGTCCCATCTCTTCTTTGTCTCCTCTCCATCCTGTCTTTTCATTTTCTCTAGATTTCCTTACCCGCTCCCCTCTCTCATTCTCTTCCTTCCCCCCCCCCCATTTTTTTTTTACATGTTCATCTACATATTTTTTTGCCCCATAACTATCTTTTCCTAGTGGTTGTGTCCACTACACTTGAAATTGTGGGGGGGGGGGGGGGGGTGGGGGTGGGGGGGGGGGGGGGGGTA